AAGAATCAGAAATCTGGAAATGTTCAGTTCTTGAACAAGAATAGTGCTGTTCTTCCTCTCAAACTAAGGTTCTGTAATGCTCCCTGAAAACAAACAAAACCTCCTTGCCAGGTAAGACATGACCAGAAAAGAACCCTTTTCTCTTTAGTGCTATAGTTTTTAGGTTGTTTTGAGTTGATTGTCTTAACACAACTCTGTAGTGGCCTTGGCTGTGGGGACCATGTTTCAGTAAGGGTGCTGATGACTAAGATCACTGGAAGCCTCCACTCTTCAGTCCAAAAGGAGAAGGACAGGGAGCTCATTAACCGTGTGTCCTAGAGAGGAGTGTGATCTGGTACAGATAAAGGCCTGTAGGTGAGTGCAGCCACAATGAGAAATGCCAATTGTCAGGCCTCAGGCATAACCACCATGGGGTGAATTTTAATAGTCCTTGCAGATTAAAGTTGTGCTCCTCTTCCCTACAGTTCATATGCTTGGCAATTTTGTTCTATGAGAGTTCATTTTCACTGTGTTCAAATGTCTCTGTGGGAAATAAAAATATTCATAGTCTAGCATATACATTCAAAACGATATTTAGAAATCTCAAAGTTTCACATACTGGGAGTGGACTCCAAATGAAGAACAGTAGAATAGACAAACTAAAAGTAATAAATCGTTTATGGGGGAACAGTCCTTTCCAGAGAGGATGTTTTATCTGGAAAATTATAGTTGTAATCTCAAGGTCCTAAAGGTAAAATAATCACATACTTCATATACTTCCTGAAGGCATAAACAATAGAATTCAACATAGCAAACTTAAAATTATCATTCACCCATTAGGTTAAGAACCTAGGAGTGGCTGTCTTAAATGAACCTAAGAACCTGTGCCATTTTATTCATTCCTAGTTGTATCTTTTTAAAAAGGATTTATGTATAGATTTATTATGTGTATGTATGTATGTGTGTGTATATATATATTCTGCCCACATATATGCTGACCAGAAGAGGGCATAAGATCTCATTATAGACGGTTAGCCCCCGTGTGGTTACTGGGAATTGCACTCAGGACCTCTGGAAGAGCAGCCAGCGCTCTTGAATTTTGAGCAATCTCTCCAGTCTCCCAGTTGTGTCTTTCTAATCTTCTGTTTGAAGCAGTATTTCAGCATTCATTGGAAGAATTATACTGTATCTTTTAAAATGATAATTTAGTCAAGCATTCAATAAATGCATTTAATTCAAAGCATGCAGAAGGCACAGAAAAGAGCATGTGCTCAAGGCCAGCCTGGTTACCTGTCTTCCAAAGGGCAGAGGTCAGAGAAGCCAATTGGTGTAGTCACAATGGACCTTACATGCTGTTATTTTTATCTATGCTCCCTTTTTGATGAATGGAAAATCATATATAATGCATATTTTTTGCAAAAGACATATCTCTCAAATGTATAGTTGCTTAATAGTTATATTCATAAATGTATACATTTTATGTACAACTAAATTTGTACAAATACAAAGTATTCTTGACTAATGTGAATTTCCAAAGGGATGACAAATAATTTTTCATTAAAGCAAAAACACAAGAATTCCGAAATACTCATTTTTTCATAAATAACTGCTATTATGTTAAAAACATGATTACCTAATTGAAGAGCATCATGACATTTGACTGTAGCAGCTTATTGGACACAAACCATGGCTGTAACAAAAATGTAGATAAATATGAATTTGGTCATTTGTATTTCAAACTTCAGAGTTTCTTGCATACTAAAGTTTGTGTTTGTGTGTGTGTATAAAATATGCATAAGTGAACTAATATTCTTTAAAGATGCAAGACCAACCTTTTTTGTGAATTCATATATGTTTCACATTTTAGTCATTAATCCCTTCAAACATACTTCCAAACAGTTCTTTCTTTGTAGATTTAAGATTCCAACTAAATTAGATTACTCTATCTGAATTTCCAGTTAGGAAATTACATTAAGGCAGCATGATTTTCATAAATTGGATGAAGACTATGCACTGGATTATTATTGCCATTTCTGGCATTACATAAATTATCCATAATTCTAAAGCAAAGCATTTAAAGACATTGTCCAATCAATGGTATTAGTAAGGAAACTGCATTTTGGAAGACATTATGGACAACTATTTCCTTCAGTTATTAGAAAATAATTTTTAAAAAATTTCAAAAATTCAAAATAGCAATGAAGAAACCTGACTTTTTAGCTGTGAAGACGGAAACGCTACAAAATCCTCGCTCTGTGCATTAGATAGTGTGAATGTAAACACTGATCGGAGTGTATCTGAGTCTGCAGGACCTGTGCTTGTCTGTGATGGTCACTAACACACTGCTTCCATAAGCAATGATGGGGCCACTGATCATTTAATAGCATGACCTGTGTCCACCAGTTAAGGCACACAAAAGCTTACTGATTTGTTACAAGCCTGGGTATCTAGGCACATTCAGAATTCACCACTTTCTGTAAACAACTCACTGGAACTGAATTGTATATGTGCACTCCAACAGTAATGGAGAAAGCAGATTTCCTGCCATGCCCATAGAACCACAAAAGATGAGTCAGCAAACCTATGAGATAGATATAGGAGAGAACATTGAAACCGTTCCTAATTATAAACCACTAACTTCAGGACAACTAAAAGTGTTAGAACCATTCCTCAATGTGCTAAGTGGAGTGAAGTCCAATTTCTAACTATCCTGAGTGCTGGACTAAGAGCTGTCATTGCAGTGTTAGTATTAGGGGACACAAAACAGAGGGAAAAAATGCATTCTGAATAAATTAGAACTGTATACTTTCTTATGAACTACATTTCTTTACCTCATGGTAAAGAAATACATTTGGCAGTTTTATGATAGCAATATGATGGTCATAGTTAACTTGTAAAAGCCAGTAATATGGTGAGTAGTTTATCAGCATTCCCTATGTATGTGTTAAGATTTACTGTCACAGTGGACATTTAAGTTCTATGATTTTACTGTAAATAAAGTGATGAACTACTTCATACAAACATCTGTGCACTTATCCAGTTAGTAACTCATAAGAACTTTCTGCCCTATGACAAACGGTATGAATATTTCTAAAGATTCTCATATGCATTTGTTCACTCATTTGAGGAACACCATAGACTAAATTGTTGTTATCCATGTTCTCTCAGATTGTTTCCTTCCCATAGTCATTTAAATGTAAATTTCCCTTTTAATAGATACAGACAGGTGAACACTATTTTCTCTCTTTGTGTGCATGTGGTACTGAGAAACCTTGTGAACTCAGGCTCATGTGTACTAAGCACATGTTCCCAACGACTTCCACCTCTGCCCTTTACCATCTTTTTAATTAGTACACTATGTCAGATGTCATAATTTATTTTGCCTAAGAAAAAATAAAACTGTCCCTATGGCTGTTACATCACGTACAGAATGGCAACAATAATATTTCTCTCTCACAGAATTAAGTGCATATGTGCATATATTTTTGTGTGTGTTGTGTGTGTGTGTGTGTGTGTGTGTGTGTAATTTTGTCATTGCTTTTGATACAGGATCTTCCCATGCAGCCTTGCTTAGCTTGGAACTTGGTATATTTACCAGGCTAGCCTTGACATCAGATATCCTCCTACCTCTGCCCTTCCCCTGACCAGCGCTCTGAGGACTAGGAGGAAAGGCACGTACCATGATGCCTAGCTTATATGTGCATTTATTACTATCTGTGGTTTAGTTGTAGTAGAGTTGTAATTTCTATGATTTGTTAACTGCAACCCCAATTTTACTCAATATTTTAGAAGAATAAAAACATGTTTTTTAATTTTTCTATTGAACAAGTTTAGGTAAAATATCTTGTTGAATTTATAGTCTCAAATATCGGTGATGTAAGGAATAAAAAAAATAGGGTAATAATTAATTTGAATCTATTTTCATTCCATACACAATGTAAAGCAAGATAAACAGACATCATATAAACTGTATGGTTGGGATCAAAGGAAATATTAGGAAGCTAATAAATAGAACAGTCTTTAAATGTCACCATACATCATGATTACAAATAAGTTTATATTTACATATTAGACTTCATATTTATGTCTTATACTATATGTCAAACAGCTTTAGATAATTTCATTGAGTTTATATTGTACTTTTAGGAAAAATAAAAATATACATACTAAGAGTTTGATATCACTTTGAAACTCATGGTAAGAACACAGTAAGATTAAAAAAAATCTTATGTAATATTAAAGAAAATCCCCTAATAAAATGAAAGCAGTAAAGTTTATAAGACCAGTAATCTCTTAATGGCAATTTCTGTAAGAAAAAAAGTCATTATTCCCAATTTTTTTTATCTGCATACTGTCACCCAGCAGACATTTAGAACACATATACACATTCCCTAATGTTATTCTCTCTGCCTATTGCATCAGGTCTTAAGTAAGCAAGGGTACAACTCAGTCTAGTCTAATGGATCTTAAGTCTTTTGTCAGCCTACTGTTGACATGATGTTCTTCATGCTGGACAGCTTCACATACCTCTCCAAAGCCTACAGAACGGGATCCTCTACAATTATAACTTCAAGCACAAACTTCAGTTCAGTTCCTACACACAGTGTATAACAAAGAAACATGGTACAATTCCTTTCTCTTGAATATGCCCAGTTATGCAGACATACAAATGGAAACAAAAGTCCTTCAGTTGGCCCTAATACACACTTTTAGCAACTTATATCTAAAGTGGACCCCAGGAATGCCCTTGTTTTGGCCAACATCATGTAGTCTACCTTGGAAAAAGAAGAGACTCTAAAACAGGAAGGGGTCTGACAGCACCATCAATTGGTGTCCTACATATGATCTTGCATAGACTTGGTACTCAGAAGTACTGGTGGTGACAAGAATGGTAAATTAAGATGATATCCAGACAAATCAGAACACTGTAAAGAGAAAATTTAAACTGAAAAAGTTATTATCATGTTTTCCTGAAATTTCACACATTTTTCTCTTTTGAAAGGAAAACGTTTCAAAGTAGATTGTTTTACATTTTTTATTCTTTATTTTCTAAGTGTGTATATGTGTGCGCATATACACCTGCCTGCCCCATTCTGCAGCATACTTCTGGAGGTCAGCTGAGTCACTGCTTTCCACACATGGGTCCTAAGGACTGTACTTAGGTCTTCAGTGTTGGCAGCAAGCCTCCGCACATGCTGAACCATCTCACTGGCCTGCTCTTAACTTGGATTTTTGAGGAAGACAAGAAAGACCTATGTCAAAATCTTTTATATTAAAATATAATGTATGAGGGAGAACATTTCTTAAATGTGCGTGTGCACATATGCACACATGCATGTATTCTCTAGTGTGGGTCAGGACCTAATTCTCAATGTAAAAATTCACATTTTCTCTGAAAGCATATTTAAGCATGAGTAAGCTTAAATTTATATATGAACCACTGAATTGGCATTTAGCTTTAAACATATACAGATTTTATCAAAAGCTATCAATTTCAGATTGAAGATGCAGGCACAAGGTCTGTTTTTATTCTAAAACCATCTATACACATAATTTTGACAAAAGCCTAGAAAGTTCTTTCAAATGAACTTCTAACCTACTAAACAGCACCGATATTCATGCTCTGATGTTCATATCAGCAGAGAAGTACGTCAAAATCACTCAAATATCAAATTGCTGAGCTGATAGAATGATTTATTTTCCCATTATAGGAAAGTCATGAGTGACTTGTTCTGAGGTATTTTTCTGAGCTATGAAGGACATCTACTAAAAACTCCACACTTGAAGGTTTCCCTTTAGGTGGAACATTTCATGGCTGGACAGTCTCTGCTGGTACCAGATTTCCTGTTGTATCCAACTGCATACATTTACATGTGCATGCGGATACAGGACACTCTGCATGGTCCCTGAAAAAGGTGAAGTAACAGTTAGAAATCCAAGCTTTACACACACAAATATATTTATGCACCAATCTTCAAAATGACACTGGGTTAAGTATAGGAATTAAAACCCACAGTAAAAAAATGCATTAAGAACATCAAATTAAAAATCACCACCAAGGTGAACTTTTCAGATAAAGTTACTAGAAAATGAACAGTTTTAGTTAGCACACTAATAGACTAAGATGCTTGCCCACAGTTCCTGCAGCGATGAGGAAATAGTCAGAGTTCATTAACACAACTGAGACAACATGCATGTGAGTGTGATGTCAGTGAATGACGGCACTGCTCAAAATCAATGATAAGTTCATCTTGAAAATCTCCATTCCAAGAGCTATTTAGACCAAGCTTACCTACAAAGAATCAATGCAGTAGACTGGTGTGTGTGCATGTGCACATGTATGTATACAATTATATTCGTAATTTACATGACAAATTGTGAGATATAAAAAACTAAATATACTGTCCCCAATAGGGTTAAATAATTTTAATCCAGTCAAAGGATTTCTTATATAAGTATAAAAAGGTCTCAGCAAGGTCTCAGGATGTAGCTCTGGCTAGTCAGGAATTTACTATCTTCAGGCTGTCCTTGAACTCATAAGGATCCACCTGGTTCTGTCCCCCAAGTGTTGGGAGTAAAGGCAAACACCACTTCACACCTGGCATAGGTATTACTTTAAAGTTAAATATTATATAAGATAATGGTGGAACCATTGATAGATACTACCTTTGTTAAGCCAAATAAGCAAATAAGTAAAACACTTAATCTTTAACTAGACATAACACAATGATACCAAGAGCCTGAACTACTTAAAGGTTGTCTGCCCTATGTCTAGTAATGTAAGATTTATCAAGGAAGCAAAGTGCTGCTTACCTGAACCAACTTAGCATATGTCCGGCATGCCCACCGTGCCGACAATTGTGACACCAGGTAAACCAATTGTTAAACTGAGCTAACTTCTTGTCCTTGCTCAAGTCCACTTTTTCATCTGATTTGGATCCACCTGTGGGAAAACAAAATGATCGCCATTGCCACATATTTTAGTGCTATGCTAAAATATAAATCATATACCATACTGAAATAACAATTTTAATGTTAAGATCTAGTACTGAATAACAGTTTATAAATGCTTTTGTTTTTTCAGGACATGGTCTCACTATGAATCGTTCACTGTCCTGCAAAGATCCTCCTGCCTCTGTCTCTAGTGCTGGGACAAAGGGTGTGTGCCATTACACCCAGCTAATTTGCCTTATTTTTAATGACCAGCAAAAAAAATGGGGTGGGGGGGGGAGGAACATGTACCTTTTCTAGACTCACTAAGGAACTACCTGAATTGAAAATTTTTTCACTAAAGACCTTTCTAAAAAGAAATGTAGACTCAGGTTTCAGGTGAGTTTTACTAAACATCAACAGGACAGGTAATTATCATCCACACAAACTTGTCTGTTCTACATAATGAGACACCTCTCAACAAACAACAACAACAAAACCCACATCTATTTATTACATAACTGTCAAAGTAGCAGAAGCAAGACTGGAGCTAAGAAGTCAAGCGGTCTGGTTTCTGGGCTAATAGTTTATATATTAGAAGTGACGATGAAATAAGAAAGGAAAGAACGTTCTCAGACACTATCAAAGAGCCTTTATGGATACAAGGTTTTGTTAATAGCTGGGAGCACACTGAATTTTAAATACCAAATCTAAAGTACCAATAGGAGCCATGAGAATGGTATAGTTATAAAAATCCCTCATATTTAAGCTTTAATCATCAACTTTAAGTTGGCCAGCATCTATGAGCTTACTTAAGTTACAATAAATATAAATGTGTGCTTTTAATGAACAGACTATAAATTTAATAAAACTCTCGAGAAGAATAATACAGACATTAACTAATACATATTTTACTTGCACCATGTAGGAACAATGAGTTCAGAGAAATATTCTGTGCAATTGTCATACCAGGACAGCTAGAAACAGGCGTTCCCATATTAATGAGGCAAAGCGCACACCGAGGAAGGGGTTTCCGACAGCCAGGGCAGCTTGTGACTTTGGATTTTGTTGGTGAGCCACTCACACCATACTGACTAAACCCTCTGCCCTGATGAGGCACAGAGGAACAGCTGTAGGAGATTGATTTGCCACAAAAATTACAACTCACAAACACCTATAAAGCAAATGAAAAGAGCAGTTTAGTGCGAACCATAATTGAATCCTAAAGTCTGATACTGATAAACTGTTTACTTTACATTGCAAAATGATCCATCTGACTAGCTCTCAGTTCTTGTCTCCATCCATGTATCAGTTATATTATTTAGTATTTCCTGTTACCTTTACTGAATTTCATTCTTTCTCATACCACTGATAACTGTGAATTACTACAAACGTTAGACCCTAACATTTCATAATTATCAAAGACACTGGAATGCACGCAAGGCCATTACAAAATACCCCAATTGTGGTTTAATGTGAAATGGTCCTACAAAACACTTGGTCCACAGCTGGAATAGGCCCTGACACAGGGGCCAACTGGAGAAAGTGGGTCATTTGGTGTGGTCCTTCAGGTTTCTTAGCCTGCTTCACTTGCTGACTGTGGGCTCAAAGGGGTCAGCTGCTTCCTGATCCTGCTCCCAGGCCTTCCTATCCCACCATGAACTTCCCCAGAACTGCTATCCCATAAGCTGCTTCTTGTCAGGTATTTGCTCACAAGCAACAAAACGAATGCACCACTAGTGACCAGTGGCCATCTTCTGAACAAAATCTTATAAAGGCAACACTGAGCTGAGCTTCCTACTCAAGATAGCTGAGCCAGAGGGACCACAAGTTCAAGGTCAGACAAGTAACTTAGTGAAATTGTTGCCCAAAAAGAAAAAGAAAAGAAAAGGATATGTAGCTCAGTATGAGGTTAACTGCTTAGCATGTACAAGACCCCAGGCTCCATTCTGTGAACAAAACAAAAGAACAAAAGATCCCTCCCCACAACCATCATGGCCTTTGCTAAGATGAAAAGGAATAAAAGTTCCTGCAACACCTTAAACGTTTCCTACAATGCTGGGCAGAGGGAGAAAACAGCCACAGAAGGTGTCACTGGGTTTTATGAGAACTCTTCAGCTCCTTCACAGATTCCTCACATACGGCACAATACTATCTTACTAAAACTCCAGCAATAGCAAAATTTTTCTACTTCCTACAAAATTAAAATAGCACCATGCAATGCTCAAGGTGAAAATAATCAAGTATTTAAATCCGAAGTAATTATGTGATACTAGATCATATACCTTATGTGATAATTGATCTCATACTAAAATTTCATGCATATGTTTATACTTATTCTATTTTTTAAACCTTCACATCCTGCTCTACTGAATACATAAAGATATATACATAAAAGCAATATACAGGTGGGACTTTGGACAGTTAGGATTCTGAAGATCTGGCAGATACTGATGCATTTCCCACAGCCCTAGGAGTTAGGCTTTCTTAAGATCATCTGGGCCTACTGGCCTTTGTCTTATCTCAAAGTAAAGCTCAGCTGCACAAGATGATTGTTAAAAAGTAGGAAAAAAAAAAAACAGGGAAAAATAAGAGCAAAGTGAAGTCTGGAATAGACAAAGACAACAAGAGATATAAAATAGGGTGATAATAATTAATCTGGTGTTCACATGGTAAAATTTGATCTCTCTAGAACAATCTACTTACCTGTGCTAAAGGCTTGGAACTGGGATCCAGCTTACTCCTATGAATATCAAATTCAGCCCTCTTGTGCCAGAACCTCCAGGCGTCTAATAAATTTCTGTAATTCTCAATCCAATACTGGACCCTTTCATCTTTCAGAACGTCTAAAGGTGAACCCTAAAAAGAAGACACAAATTATTTCAAACATTTGAAATGTCCTGGTTAAAATCAGAGGATTCTGGGTAAAATGTGAGTATAAGTAACTCACTTTTCATGAACCTCTATCCTAATAAGGAGTTGAATAAAACAATGAAAGTGTGGCGAATCCACCTTAAGCTGGGCTTCACTAGAGATACAAAAATGCACATTATATATAAATACTTTATCAGGAAGTGAAATTCTCTTTTGAGTTTAAGGAGCAATCGTCAAACAATCCACCTTTCTTAATAATGTAGTTAATCATGATGAGAAAACCCCTTGTTGTAAGTACTAAATCTTATGGATTCAAAATCTCTGCTTACAATGTATCCAAATTGCACATCAAAACTACTTAATAACATCTAAACTAATACTGAGCCTGGCCCTTCATATCTGGTAGTGAAATGCTGCTTTTGAGTACTTTAAATATAAAGTGCACATAGGCACTAATGAGAAGCAAGAATTGGTTTTCCTTAAATTTAAAGTTCTTCTCATCAGAACATTGATTTCTGGCCAGTAAGAATATCTCTAAAACAGGATTTAGTGTCAGAGTTGGCAGACAGAATCTTTAATGCAGGATGTAGCACATTCAAAGAAATATGCTTAAAGAAAAACATTACAGATAGTGGAAAATAACCCCTTCAACTAGTGAGTAAATAAGGAATCTAACCTGAGAAATGCAATCTATAACAAAGCTGACATTCCACAACTGAAATGCAAACTAACTGAAATTAAGAATTGTCTCAAGACTAGAAAGATCAGGAAAAATGAGACAAAGGAGGATGAATTAGAACAAAATATAAATTAAAACAAATTATGCAGTTACCAAATAGAACCCCATTACTTTGTATGTTAACGTAAATAATTAATTTTAAAAGTACTTTTGGATGTGTGAGAAAAACAACAAAATTCCCTGGCTAGTTTAATGGCCAAAGGCAGTGAGAGAGAGAACAAGTTATCAAACCAATATGAACTGTCCAGTTGAAGCTGGGCATGGAAGCACACCACACCCTTCAGCCCTCAGACAGACCTGGGTGGATCCCAGCCTGGCCTACCAAGTGAATCCCAGGCAGCCAGGGCTACACAGTGAAACCCTGTCACAAACAAAATGAGAAAAAAAAGGAAAAGAAATTGTCCAACTGAAGCAGAGGAGGTAAATAAAAAGGAAAGGAGAAAGAAAATGAATAGAACCCCAGGCTCTGAGTAAAACTTAAAACTCTCATGAAAATAAATGTTAACTGACAGATCCAAGAAGCTCAGTGATAAATACACAGGATGCAGAAGAATTGTAACTAGGCACAACGGTGTCTTTTTTTTTTTCCCTGAAAAAAAAAATCAAAGAGAAAGGGGGCTTCTTGAAAGAAATCCATGGTAACATGAAACACCACATACTGGCAAACAAGAAAAAGAGTTGATTTCTCATCAGAATCAAAGGAGACAGAAGAATATGAAGCACTTCTTGAAAGTGCTACAAGAAAAATTAAGATACGCTATATGCTTTTGTTAAAAGGCAAAAGCCAGGACCACCTGTATTGAAAGAAATACTAGAGAATAAACAAAGTGATGAAATAAAGTTAAACTCAGATCCACAGGAAGAGCAGACACCAGGAACAATAAATAAATATATAAAAAGTCTGTTAATTCCATTCTTTTTCTAATTTATAAAACAAGATAAATCACTGTCTAAAGCAAAAGTAACAATGTATGTTGGAGCTTAGACTGTATATAGGATAAAATATGTGGTCTCTGGACAAAGGAAAAGGTGCACAGTGAAATTACATTGTTATAGTATCTGTGAAATGTAAAGTGTAAGGACAACCCAGTGCTAATGTGTGGTAGGAAAAAGAACGGTGCTACAGCATGGCGGGTGTGAAATGCAGTCTGAGGGGAATGAGACTCTGAGGAGGTCAGGATGTGTATGTAAGACAAAGCACCAGCTTTAGCAAAAACAAACAAACAAACAAACAAACAAACAGTAGGAAGGATACAGCTAAACACCAATAAAGAATTAAGGTGAAATACAGAAACTGATACAAAATATGGCGGGAAACAAACAGAACAACAAAAGGAAAGAGGACAAACAGAATGAAAACAGCATGATGGTAGAGTTAACCTTGCACATACACAGAGAGAGAAAGCATCCCAACTAAAATGAAGCACTTACCAGCCCAGACTTCTTAAAGGTCACTACGCACTGTTTGCATTTTAGCAACATTTTTCAAAGTGTGCTCTTACCAACCCATCTGCACTCTGTAGCAATATATCAGTAGTTAATTTAAGACAAAAAACTCATTCCGATGAGAAAATGGTAAGGAAGAAAACCTTTTCTTACAAGTGACGGCTTGATACTTTGTATAAGCAGACTCCATTTTGAGTCAGTATTACATAGGTTCACAGGAAAGCTCACAGAAAGGGAGTGGGGTAAACACATCTCCATCGTTCCCTAACATAAAGTAGGCTTTCCTACGAAAGGAAGAAGGCACCAAGGAGAGAGGTGCTCATAACAAGAAAGGCTAAGACCAGCTGGAGGCCAACGACATAGCAGTGACACAGTGGATGGATTCATGTTCCTCACACAGAAGTGAAGCATTAAGTAACCTTTTCCTGGAATCTGGCTTAACCACTGTACAGTTAAAGCAAGGGAAAAAATGCTGATGAACTAGTTATTCAAATTACTCTGCTGGTAATCAAAGGGACACTGGGGAGTAAAAGAACTCAAGTGTAACTTCTAGTCTCCTATTCAAATGAAACCCTAACCACTGTTGAGATCAGGCAAGGGAGTCCTTACGGAAGGTGGGTTAGACGCTCATCCAAGGCCTTAAAGACAAGTTTCTCTGCTTCCATTTGAGCTTTACTTGAACAGACACAGTCAAGATAGCTATTTCTGACTAAAAGAAAAACCTGGAGAAACTAATGAGGTGATCAGGGCCAATAAGATGAAACATATCCTCAACAGAACAATGAGGTCACACTGCAAACTAAGAATCCACATCCAAGGAAAAGAGCATATGCACTTTACCTGAGGAAATACGAAACATGTAGAATGTGGCCCGGCTTTTATTTTAATGCTAGTGTGATACTGCACTAACCTGTAACATGCAGTAGCTTGCTGTTTGGACATCTCCAGTTCTATCCACATAGCTCTCCATCAGGTCCACTCCATCTTTAGTGAGGCCGGTAAGCAAGATCCCTTCCAAATTTCCAGCCTCTTTCATTTCATTGGTCAACTTTTCAATGTATTTATTTAACTGAAAAATTCAAAGTGATTTTTTTCATACAATCTGTTTCACTACATATTTTACAACTGAGAATTACTATTTTTAGAACAATTTTATTCTTGATAAAAAAAAATTTAAGTTATAATCCCTTACCAAAATCTAAATAAGTACTGAGAAGTCTACATCAATTTCAAGTTTCAATACATATCTATCCACAATCAATTTATTTTTGTGTGGCATGTGTGCAAGGGCATGTGTGGAGACCAGAGATTGACAACAGATGTCTTTCTCAACAGCTTTGCGCGTTATATTTTGATACTGGGCTCTCACTGAAGCTGGGCTCATTGATTTGCTAGCATGACAGAGCAGTGAGCCCAGGGACCCTCCTGCTTCTGCCACCCAGCCCTGGGATTACAAGTATATGCTGCTGCACTCAGGTTTTTCCATGGGCTTTAGGGCATTCGATTCAGGCCCCTGAACTTGCACAGTGAGCATTTTAACCATTGTGCTATCTCCCTAGTTCCCACAATCATTTAAAAAAATGTAAGACATTTCCTAGACTTATAGACAGCTTAGCCTAAGAGGAGTGTCCTCTTTTCAGCAAGTTCTCGACAATCATGGAAGTATGTAACAGTATCACAGAATTAGAGCTCTATGTTCATACTCATCAATAAAAACTACTTTTCTACGGTCTCATTTCATCCTATGCAAACTGCGGCCAGTTCCCATAACGTCTGTCATTATTACAGCACTGCTAGCCATCTCCATGCACTTCATCCTCACTACCCTCAGAAGCAGCAGGTAAGTGTTTACATGCTCAAAATAGGACTTGTGTATAGCACTACTAAAGCCTGAGTTTAAAATCTGTACCTGCTAAGTTTTCTTCAAAATGTAAAAACAAACTAAAATATCAACTCAACATTCTAAAACAAATTTAGTTATTACATGCATATTTATAGTTTCAATGTAATAACTGCCTTCTTAGATTTTATATAAAAATCTTATAGGCATATAATTATATGTAAAGATTAGTTTCTAAAGAATAATTCATAGTAAACATGAATCACCTCAAATATAGATTTGAATCAGTTCTCACCTGAGCATCACCAAGGAATTTACAAGCAAATGCCACTCTGTCACGTACAGCAACTTTGTTTTCATACTGGGGCGGGGGAAACACAATTACACATGGCATTTATTTGTAAGTTTATTTTCAAATGTATTGCAAAGGTACTGTTCAGATGCTGGAAGAATCATCAATTGCCAAAGAATCCTTTTCTGATGTCACTATTAGGAAACACACTACAAAGGTCATTGTCCTTAACAGTAAGTTTTATCTTTCAAACACAGATTACCTAATTCAGTTATATAGATATATAGATATGAAAAGGCAGGTCATTCTTTCTATAACACCAACATAAACTATAACTAGATGTCATATAATCTTTCTCTCAAAGCAATTAATTGTGGGGAAACAGCTACATAAAATTAGTCACCAAATCTAGAAAAATCTATGAACTGGGTATACCAGTACAGATTAAAATATTAATAACTTGAGGCAGCAAAGATGACTCAGTGGTTAAGAACACTGGCTAACCTTCCAGAGGAAGAGTTTGGCTCACAAACACCGGTAACTCCAGTTCCCAGGGATTCAATGCTTACATCTGGTTGGTCTCCTTAGACAGTGCACATATATGAGGCACATACATACATCCAGGCAAAACATTCATATACATAAAAGAAAAATAAGCCTACCTTTAAAAAAACCTACCTATAACTCTTAAATACAAAACCTAAAACCTGTAAGCTGACACTGTCCAACAGTGGTATATAGGTAGTTGGCAGCAGAATATTTAGAAGCAACATTTTATTCATCGATGTTATAAAAAAAAAACTTTGAAAATACTAATTATAAATTTAGAAAGTTCCAACTAATTCTGTAATAAGAAAAGAATTAAATTTTTTGTAAAGATTCATTTATTTATTTTATGTATGTGAGTGCACTGTAGCTGTCTTCAGAACAGAGCATGGGATCCCACTACAGATGGTTGTGAACCACCATGTGGTTGCTGGGAATTGAACTCAGGACCTCTGGAAGAACAGTCAGTGTTCTTAATCACTGAGCCATCCCTCTAGCCCCCCAAAAAATTAATTTATAGGTAGAAAAAGATCCAATTTCTATCAAAGTTATCCTTTGAAAGAATTTTCCTTCTTAAAAACTAATACCCTTTTCATCAATATTCATTACCTTTCCTCAATTATAAAATGTAAGTCTATCTTTAAAAGTGAATAAGCTCTGAGACTCAGTTACATGTGCTACAAAAACAAATAGGTCTATAACAAAATTGAGTCCATTTTACACCTGAGAGAACTAGAGCCCTAAAAGTTAACTGAGTAGCTAAGGTTAAACTGTGGCAGAACGAAGACTGGAGCTTTTTCTGGCTTCTAAAATCAGTATGTACATACTTATGGTAACAGTATAAAAAATAAAATTACATAGACATTAAATTAAATACATTCTTGAAAAGGCTTGGATACATGAATTTTCTTCTCAGCTCTCCCTATGGGGATAAGAGAAGAAGGGATCTTATTCATTAATTAAAATACAGAAATGCAATCTTAAGCCATCAGTTCATTTCTTTTTCTACTCTCTCATTCTTCAGCTCTTGCTGAAAGTTTACTGTTAGCTCAAACACAACACTTAAAGTCTTCTATTTAACAAATGTAGTAGTAACAGTTAAAGATAAATATTCCTAGATATTAGTTTGAAGAGGTCAGAAAGGTTCATTAGAAAATTAAAAGCATGGACAGAATAAACTAGACACTGTCAAACTAGACACTAACATTCATTTAAATGTTTAGTATGATAACTCAATAAAATATACACTCTTACAAACCTTATAGAATGACAACTACTGAAGCAATGCACATCTTATAAGAAATGTTCTAACAGCAAACAGAGAAATAAATCTTAAAGTTCTTTCCATTGCTGGAAAGAAGACAAACAGTAGAAAGCAAACTGGCTTTACTATCTGTAAGTCACCGACTGACATGGCATGGGAAACCTCACTCCACTCTTTCTCAGTTTGTGGCAAAGATACAACGTGACTACACAATGACTAAATCAGGAGAGGAAAAAAAGACCTGAAAGACTGAATAAAATATAGGTTATTATAATTAGTGGGATTACATGGTTTTCCAAACAGAAATGTCTGAAAAATGAGTGTTTACTTAAGATGTAAAGACATCTTAGCCAAAACTAACTGAGTGATCATCAGTTGTTCACGCATGCATGCATGCACACAATAGGTGAACAGTAAATGCATGTATACATGGATATCTTTACAGGTGTACATCTCTACAGCTCAGTTTTTCAGTAAAGGATAAAACAGTCTTAGTTCTGTAGCTATACACTGTATTAACAAAACTATAAAAAGCAATCCTATTAATTCAAAGGAGGATCTGGGGAAACAAAATAACTCACCAACACTCCGTCATATGCCCCTGCTTCACTCGTCAGAAATGCAAACATGACACACAGATAGGGGTTGTTGAGCTGCAAGCGTAGTGTGCTGCACATCTCCCTCCACAGGGAGTTCTTCTCATCTGTATACCCTGATAAAGCCATCGCCACCACATTGAGATTCAGATCTCCTGCAGGTTAAAAGTACACAGCTAGTCAAAGTTATCAGAAGCTTACTAGGTCCTTCCCCATAGTTCTTAAATCCTCAACAGTGACCAAAGGGTGAATTTACATTAAAAATAATTAAAACTGTTAAATTTGGTTGAAAACAAAGAAAAAGAGCCATTCTTAAAAACAGCTCACACACACACGCATGAAAACACTGTGCATTAAGTACTTTATCCCACAGTTGTGGAGACTGAACCCAGAAACCCACTGGCATGCTATAGCACTGAACTACTTCCACAGCAGCAAGTAATGGTTACTTTCAAGTTCTTCATCCAGCACTTTCTTATGATGTTACACAATTACCTGGTATCTAGATGAAGACAAGTAATACCATCTCACCAAAGTCACCGTCTCTTACCAGTAAGGTCATCCATGCTATTGCAGAATACTAAAGTAATGCTACTTTACTACATAATCATAATCTTCAAAAGTTTCTTATTTTCCTACTTCTAATTATATACTGCATGTCCTGATATACAAAGTGTCAACTAGGGACAACAACAACAGTATTTTGGTATTTTTATTTTAATATACTTACAAAAACTTCTAAGCCAAAAAGAGCTATGAGAATTACCACAAAACTGCACAGACGTGTTTACACAAAGCTCTGTTGCCAGTGACTTTTATGAACAGTTGCTCTGGGTGTACACTGCTGCTAGGAAGCTGTCAACCTGCTCTTCCATTCTGCACGGCTTCCTAAGTCCACTCGCAGGAGAAAGCTACAGCCTGTGAAACACTGTCTACTTCTGACAGCTTTCTTATGGCTCTTGCTTCTAACATTCTTCCTTTTCTAAGTAAAACAATACCACCCACTTTCTGTTCTTATCAGCCTCATTATACATTTTTACAAAAATGTTTTCCAAGATACTTGATACCTACTCTAAGGTTTGAAAATCTTTTAAAATAAAAGCATACAATTACCAAATTTTCCAGAAATATATGGTAGAAAAGTAGGCTTTCAGATTGTAGCAAAATTATATTAGAAATAGAGTTCTTTGGGGGGGGGGGTGCTGCATGTAGATCTCACAGTCTCATATATGTTCTCTTTTTAGTGGCACTACAAACCTCTCATCCTGTCATGTACAGAAGCCATTCCCTGAAGCACAGGGAACGATGCTCAGGGCAAAGCATTAGCTTTTCTAACTTTTAAAGTGAAACTAAATAAATTACAGTCAATTTCATGTTTTATTTTTATCGTATAACTGAACTATAATAGGTTGAAAGTAGGCCAAAACAAGTGAAAATTCAGTACTCTAAATACTCAGAAAGAATTTTCTATATGTATTAAATATAAATAGCAATATATCCTTTAGGCATTTAAGTAGACTACACCTGAAAAATCTAGAACAAAATACACAAACAAACAAACCAAAAATCTTTGGTTTTGATTGATTTGTTTCACTAAGGACCCTCTGTCAAATTCTGAAACTTTATCACACCCCTCCCCCACCCCTCCCCCCGTTACAAATATGCTTTAATTGGACTCAATTAGAAACATTTTCCAGATCAATATGCTTTTTATAAGAATCTATACTGATCTACACAAAAATATCATTTAGTTTCCTACCAAAGGAGGAAGTACAGGTTAGAATATATCCAGCCGTTTGTAGTAAGACTGTTTACAAATGAAAGCAGTTCCAATATTCATTCTGTTAATGTATATGATCTGACTTTAAAATGAAAAACAATATATGCTAGAAAACTTCTTATATTGCATGTCATTTAATATGATGTCAGTTAATACGTCATTTAAGATACATCTGTTTTGACTGACCTATCCGAAGACATATATAAATGGGACTGGCTAGTATTCTACTGCTCAACACCATACACTTTCCCTTTGAATAAAAAACATGTTGATGAGATAGATGATTGAAAATTACCCATATCCTTTCTTGAGAGAACTCTATGAAGTGCCACTTCTCAGAACATAACCTAATACCTTTTTCTGAAGACGCCCCTTCATTCAGGATTTGGATGGCTCGCCGAATATCCAAGTTGAACAAAGCCACAGCAGCAGCTCTTTCCCATTCTCCTTCTTGCACAAGGGAGTTCAAAAATGGCCCCACATCTACATCCATTCCTTTCTTTATCCATCCACAAAGCTGTAACGCTAAAATCCTCTCTTCATTTAAGTTCTGAATATCAGTTTGTTTATCCAAGCCACTCCAATTATGTCTGCTGCTTTCTACTGTTCCTAAAATAAAGAAGTTTTATATTGTTTTGTTTATTGTTATTTTGAAATATATTAGGACACACTTCAGCTTTACAAAGAAACATTTCAACATTTAGAATATTCTATTTCTCAGCCATAATCTTACAATAACATAAATAAGTAGTATATTACAAATAAAACACTCTGCACCATAGTTGAGTGACTTAGAAGCTATTACTGTAAGACTAAATGTTCAGGCTCACGAAGCTGAGTCTGCTTCAACCCTCTAACCGAAGACAGATGCCTCTGTCATCTAACTCTCCTGTTTCCTGATGTTCTGCAGACACATTTAACATTAGCTTTCACTCCTGTTCACTCACTAGGACACAAGCTCCCACAGGTAGGTAGTTTTGTTTGCCTTGGAGATCCAAGCTTTCTTCCCTTTCTCTCTTTCTTATATACGTACAAGGAAGGGCTGGACCACCTGTCTGACTGTTATATAGTACACAACTATCCATATGGGTAAAAAATGAGACTTTAGTCATCAACGAACTTCTAGGGAAATAATAAAGAAAATACAATGGAAATGACTTGACTATGTCTCACTCTATTAAGTTAGAAAACTATATATTATCTTTTTAATGAAAATAACCTACATTTTTATAACATTATTTACACTGGAATTTATAACATTATTTACACTGGGAGCTAGTTATAATGGCAAAGTAATTTCAATAGGATACTACTTAATGGCAAACAGAGACAAAACATACAAAGATGAGGTTCAGGGATTTTCTCAACTACAACAAATTCCTAAATGTTCTAGAAAGTTTTATGATCAAATGGTCAAAAATATATTATTTTCAGAAAAAAATAAATTATGGTATAGGAAACATGAGTATCCATATACAAACTTCCTTTATTTAGTAATTTATATTTGTAACTTAACAACAATTACATACTTATGTACTTATAAGTATCAATGCTACTTATATAAATAACTAGATCAATAGCAAACAGATGAGCTTTTAGAATTCAGTCTTCTGATTGTAGGCAGAAAAAAAATAGGGCCCAAAGGTTTCTACAGTTAGAACTATATCTTTGAATAATCGCCTCTGCTGGATTTTAAGCTGAAATCTGTGATTTGCTTCTAACAACAACAGAGCAGAGATGAAAGAATTTTACAGATGTAGCTAAGGACCTTACTTCCTTGACTGTGAGTGACTCTATAGGGAGATATGTGATCTAGGCCTACCATTAATCAGGCCAACCCTTAAAGAGAGTTAATAAGTAAAAGAAGCAGTAGAAAAGAGATCTTCTGCTGGTCTTAAAGCAGACAGAGCTACCATATTGATAAGGTATTCTGTAAGAAGGCAGCACAGCGAAGAATCGTAAATAACTTTTAGGAGCTATGGGAAGGGCCTATCACCCAGCCAGAAAGCAGGGAATAACTTAGTTCTACAAGGAACCCTCTGTCTCTCAGCCTCTGGCCATTAAATCCTAAAAATGCCAGTCCCACCACCACGCCCAGTTAATAAAGGATATGTGCGTCCTTCTATCCAAGGCTGAGTCTCATCTAAATCCAGTTCCTTCCCATTCCTAGGAACTTTCCTTTCTCTCCTACATGTATCTTCAATCTGTTTCTGTGGCTGCTCAACTTGACTGACAACCACATGAATTTAGAAAAGTAAATCTCTACTTCTAGAAGGAAATAGTCAAAGTTCATTTTTAGCCACAACGATCATTTTAACTTTGTGACACTGAGCAGTGCCCAGTCTTCTGACTCAAAGACAATGAGATTCTCTAACAATCTATATTATAGAAAAGTAGCGAAGGGTCCAAAGCTGCCTACAATTAATCTGTCAAGGGATCCTTCCTGCATGCTAGAAAAATATTCTTCCAATTTGTTTTACATTTAAATAGACCATTCTTAATTAAATGAATTGACCTCTGCCAGCTCAGAGATTCTTAGCTTGGCAGCTATGCTATGGGTAATTAGGGTTATCAAAAAACGTGATACCATGAATTTCAAATGTATCATTACACTACAATTTTAACAACTATAAAATTTTAACATATGTATGAAAGAAAAATAGAATCTATGCATGGTATGCAATACAAAAATGAACAACTGTATACTGAATCTGATATTTCCCATATTAATAGAATCAATATTTTACTGTTTGCAAAGGGAACAAGTATACTCAAACATTAAATTACCAGCTTTAAAAAAAAGCCTCAAATCAGTAATCAGATGTTTGTATATGTCACACACATATGTATACATACAGACATACACTATGTATGTGTATAAAATGTGTGATAAAATAATACACTTTATAAGAATACTTGGTGTTAAGAAAACAAAAACACAAAATCTTAGCTACTTTGTTCCTTTAAGTCAATTGAAACGTAAGTTTTCTAGATCAGAATTACATTTTCAAGTATAAACAGAATTTCATTGCATTAAATGAAAAGCTGGCCAGCCTTTTAATATACAACCTTTTGCAATATTCAAAAGACAGGTATTGGTGTGGGTGAATGGCTTAAGGAGTTAAGTCCTAGGTACAAGCCCAATGACCATGAGTTCCATCCCCTAGAATTCACGTAAAAGGCCTGACGGACTGCATCTGTTATCCCAGCACTCCAATGGCAGATGAGTGGTAGAGAGGAAACTCATCACAGCCTGGTAGACTCTGTCAGTATCAAGTTCATAAACAGTCAGAGAGACCCTCCCTCTGCAAGGTAGAGAGCTAGAACTGACTCCCAAACATTGTCCTCCGACCTCCACATGTGCACAATAACATATGCAAGCCCACTTACACATCCACACAATAAAGAATTGTATCTATAATACTGGCAACATGGCTTTTCCAATCAGCATTTAAACACAGTCGCAAGCTGGAAACAAAACCAAAGCAACAACAGCCCTCCCTCCATTCAAGACTAGCTCCTGCTACTAGTTACCGTTTTAGCCTCCCTTATAGATGCTATGTTTCTAATTATTTATAATTGACGATTTCACGTGACACTGTTTAGTTGTTTCACTTAATTGAATCTACAATGTGAAGTGACTTCTTTCCTTCGTCTACATGAATATATGGTTCCCATGTATTTTCTACCTCACCACAACTCTCTACTTTCTGGTCTTACTCTGAAAAATTTCATCTATCTCATAAAATATCAGTATTCCTAGCACACTGCTCTCTAGTCATATTCCTCCTCTACTCTAGCCTCTTATCCCATTGCCCAATACTAAAAGTTTTATCAACATAGTGCTTAATTCTCGGTGGCAGTGGTTTTTAACTCACAAACCATTGTATATTTAGGTTTATATATGGTGATAATATATATGCCTGCCTTTTTACTTTTGCTAATAAATAAGGCAATTTATCATTAAACTTGCTGTTATTTCTTTTGATAAAGGTTACCCTTTCTGGTATAGTTCTAATGGGAAAACATCCAAATGATATAGATCTGAAGCTGTCCTTTCATCTGCAGCACTGTGTATCAAAATAATTTCAAAGTCCCCTAAAAGAAAACCCACTATAACAAATGCAGCTTATGTCAAACATACTCTAAAACAACAACAAAAACAAACAAAACAAACAAACAAAAAACCCATGTTATTGTGGATTCTGTGTTACTTGGAACATAGTGAAAAAAGTCCTATAAAGAAAATCTATTTATTTCTACTATGGCTTTAACCAAATAATGTGAATTATATTTCTAGCACCTTACATGGAGCACAAATAAAACTAATAAAATGTAGAGGTTGAATCCTAAGAGACAATATAACATCATCACAATTAATTCTAGTAGAAAGACTAGAATGATTGCTTAAAGCAGCTAGCTTAAAGGTTCTTCTGGAGGAGTGCTTATTTTTAAATAGTTATCAATTTAAACCTTACTCAGCAAGGACTTCCAGGTATTCTTCAGGCTAGGCCATACTTCATGCCATATCCTTGTCCTTGTAAAAGTATTTGAGGCAAATAAAAGGGACTTTTAGTCAAGACTCTTTTAATTTAGTCTTTAAAAACTAAGGTGCTATGATAAAATTCAAACGAACAAGCAGATCTTATAAGTGAACTTGTACAGCACCTCTCTTAAAGTGGGTCTTCAAATAAATAGCACAGAATCAAAAATGAATAGATTTAAGAAAGGTCTATGGACATCAAAGAATCAAAGTTCCTTCTGTAAAACATCCCAGACACAAATACACTCAATACACTTAACAATTCACTAAAACATCCAATTAGAAAGCCAAGAGGGATAAATGATATTTCTGTACAGCCCTGAAATAATCTTAATTTTAATCAAATAGGGATCAAGTAAGAGTACAAAAGTTATAGATGTATTTAAAAATATAAAATGGAATTTTCTTACCCAAAGATGATTTTACTATTGATTTAATTCCTGCATAAACCAATGATCCTTTGTTGCCTGGAGATTTTTGATCCATATCTTCTGTATATTGCTTCATAAGTATTTAAATGCATAGGAAATACTGGCAATTATGCATAATAAAATATTTCAAAATTAAAATTAATTAGGAGCCAATTCATAAGAATATATACAAACAAAAGTTTCATATTACTGACCACTTTTCTTGCCCCTATTCTACAAACTAAACTTTTAAAAGGTTTAAACAATTTTACCTCAGAATTTTCGATTATGTAATTTGTATTTATAGAGAAAACATTTAGCATGCTACCCAATTTGCCTCAAAAAGCTAACAAGACAAAGGATATAGTGCAGAGTATACCAGAGGGACTTGAGCTGTGGGTCTTCATTGCCAGCTAAAATATGGTTTCTCCAGACCTGTTCTGTATCAAGTCCATACCTTGATAAAGCCCGAAGGCGCATTTTTGTTGCGATATCTTTTTCTAAGGAATTATCACTTTCTTCTTCTGCACATTCATACAAATGGCGACCACAAGCCCACATTAAAGATGTAATTGGGCTCCAGGCAAGAGATATCCTTTCAAATACAGTGAAGTCAGACATTGTTCGGTTGGGAGTCACAACTATCATTCGATTTTGACTCGTTGGATGCCATGCGAAGGAAGCAATGTAATTGTCACAAGGTTGCACACTTCTTTCAATTATTGTGGGTTCAGTTTCATCCCCAATGGGAGTGGGTGTATGCTGCATATCATACAGCCTAATGATATTACTATCCCTTGTTAAAGTGGCAAGCAGTCCTGTCCTAGTTGGACACCACGCTACTTTTGTCAAGGGCTTTGGTTGTTCAGTCAAAGTCAAAACTGGCTTCTCAAATTTTCTAAGATCCCATATTGCAACCTGACCTTCATAGAAGGAAGCAACACGATCATGGAAGTAAGGGTCTACTGTCACTCCTTGAACAGCTTTTGTATTTACAAACATCTTCTGGCTTGTGTTCCGAAGATCAAATATGGCTAGGTTACGATGCATGCCAGCAAGAAGAAGTTTCTGGTCTCGTGGAAGCCAACAAAGAGATAGGCAGGCGTCATTCTGCCCTAACTCATACAGTGGTTTTGTTACTAATAATGTTGTTTCAGCTTCACCTGCCGAAAGTCTCACTTTTTCCATGGGAACAATATCAGGAGTATATTTGCTGCAGATATCCCATATTAGAACAGAAAAGTCAGCTCTGTGTTTGTCTAGACCAGCAGCAAGCCAGTTACTATCCAGTGGATTCCATGCAAGGGTATTGCATTGTCGAGCATGTTTTGGAACAAATTCTTTTCCTATCAAATCTTTAAACTTAGAGTTATGATCTTGACCAAGACTTGTAAGTACAACTCGACCATTTGCTTGTCCTACTGCTAGGAGACATTCAGGATCATAATTGAGATACCATGCAACACATTTCATATAGGGTGTATCTGAATTTATTGACAGTAATGTAGCTGCAGAATCTTCAGATAAACGTAATGATCCAGCTTTGAGTTCTGAATTCACAGCTGATTCCACATGATAAAGGCTCAACTCTGAGTCACATACAACAAATCTATCAACCTGGTGTGGTGCCCACAAAATGTCAGGCTTGGTACCGCTCATGTTTGTTGATGGGCTTAAAAAGTCCAGTCAGGTCCATTCACTGAAAGTGTTAAAAAATAAGACGTTTAAAATATCAACAAAACATAATCATTATGCTCAAATCTCTACACAAATACCTCCTTTTTCTCTGTGATTGTATTTTTCTCTCTTCATTCAAGATGATACTCTTTTGATTAAAAATAGAGACAGAAGAATAACCACTTCCTCCAATAAAGTGATCTAGTAGGGATCTGAGAACCCTATCCTGGCTTTATTTCCCATGATAAATTATCTTAATTGTACAGTTACTAGAGCTTTCAAATTACCCTTGGGTTATAATAACTTCACTGTGATCAGTAAATTAATAAGTACCATACCTGTGATGGGGGAAAACTTAAAAGGAGTGTGAATCACAGTCATAAGTACTGGTTAGAGCAGCATTTAGTTCTCGATGTAAATGTTCTTTCTGTGCTAACAAGGGAATGCCTAGCCACAGAGAGCTACTGAACACTAGTTAACTCACTCTTCAGTAATTTAATTAATAACACAAATTTGAACCACAATATCATGCTATGACATTTGTTTCTTCAACTGTCAGCATTAAGAATCAGGCAGAATAAAAACTGGAATGTACAAGAGATATGAGATTTCTTCTAACTTTTCTACAATTAGTTATAGGATGATTTTCTCATCTACTCAATATAATAAAGTTATTTAGATTAGTACTTTCTAAATTTTACTCATTCATGGACCACTTATAATGCTACTACTCTCTTTAAATTGATTCTTTTTTAAAATCTGATCAACTTTAACTTCATATGTAGTTCCATCAACCATGAGTAGAGTGTATTAATTATATTTTAATATATGCTAAAATAAATATATTATTAAAATGTGCTCGATTGTATTTTATCTAAAAACCATTTCTTTCTGATCACCAGTACACATGCAACACTTACTTTGAGAAAATGAGTTAAGGGACCCTTAGAGGTTCTTAGTTTTCAATTTTATAAGCCTTGATAAGTTTTAACTAAAACTGGAATAGTTTTAAAATTTTTTTGTTTGAAAAATAAAGGCTGGATGCAAAATTAAGTGATACCAAGAAGTTGGCAAGATTAGGTTAGATACAAAATTAATAAGACATTTACAAATCTCACTGTGGTCATATTCGGTTTTCAGAAAGTGAACATATGGTCCACCTATTTCTATCAAGTATAGAGCCTAACTTACTTTCCTAATAAAGATATTCTTTGATAGATATTCAACTCTCATGTAACTGCTTTACCTCCTGATCTTGCAAACATTTTTAGACATATATAGAATTAGAATAATATAGAATTTATAGATTTGATAATATATTTATCTAACTTTTAAGAAGTCTTTTATTTGTATATATATATACACACACACACACACACACACACACACACACGCACACACACATACATATATGTGCATGCCTGTGTATTTGTGCACATGAGTGCAGTACCTTTAGAGGCCAGGAGACAGTGTTGGATCACCTGGAGTTACAGGCTGTTGCGTGTCACCTGATGTGGGTGCTGGAAACTGAAGTCATGTCTTCTGCAGGAGCAGAGTGCTCTTAACCTCTGAGCCGTCTCTCCAGCTCTCATATGATTAGATAATTAGAAAAAAACATTCAGAAATTCCCATACTGGCTGAACTTTCTTCTATAACACTTCTGAAGCCTAGCGTCAGTCATTTTGATTATATTCTTAATATCATTTCTTTTTTATTTCCTTATCCATTTTGTTGTATCTTTTCTTGGAAATTTTTTTATTTTGTTTTTGTTTGTTTTTTGGTTTTTTCAAAACAAGGTTTCTCTGTGTAGCCCTGGCTGTCCTGGAACTCACTCTGTAGACCAGGCTGGCCTTGAACTCAGAAATCCGCCTGCCTCTGCCTCCCAAGTGCTGGGATTAAAGGCGTGTGCCACCACCACCCTAAAGAACTTGGAAATTTTTGTTCTGTTTTTTTGTTTGTTTGGTTTTTGTATCTTTTCTTTATCTAACATTATTTACCTCTTCCCTTTCTTGACTCAAGGTACTATACTGGACATATTCTCAAAGTTCTATATAACTATAAGAGATCAAGGTACATATAATTTCTAGTCTGTGGTACTAGTTCAACAATTCATCTTTCTACTATGATCCTTTAAGAGGCAGAATAATAACCTTTGTGTTGTGCATGTGTGAGCATGTATGGTTTATGTGTTCATGTGTACAGGTGTGTATATGCAGGGTCATGTTAGATGTCTAAAGTGCTAACCTTATTTTTCATCAATTCTTAAGATGTTCATACTCACAATGTATTCTGAACATAATTACCTCTTCCTCTTCACTTCTCCCAAACTTTTGTTTTTAATTTTCTTTTTTAAAGATTATCCACCCAGATCAATTTGTATACTTTATTTTTTGAGGCAAGGTCCCTTACTGAATTTGGAGCTCACTGATTTGCTGGTAACACTAGTTGACCAGCAAACCCAAGGGATCTTCCTCCTGACTTTGTCTCTCCAGTGCTGACATTATGAGTGTATATTACCATGCCTAGTTTTTCACATACACGTCTTCATAGGTATGCAGCAAGCACTATACTATCTCTCCATACCAGAATAATCATTGTATAACACAAGAAACCAGTTTACACAATTAATTTACAAGTCTATAAATACCTTCAGCCTGTACCTGTTGCTCTGACCTCCTGGGATACCTTACCTGCAGTGTTTTAGCTATATTGCTTTTCTCTTCAGTTCCTGGAATTCACTCCTTTCCCTGGCCATTTCTTATTTTTGCAAATGATGTCTTCCCCGGCTGACACTCCTCTCACTTTTGGCTAAGAGTCTCAACTTTTATCTTCTCTTGTCTAGAAATACATTCTCATCAAATAGTATTCTCTCTCTTGAAACCTCAGAGTTGAGTCTCTTGTACTAGGTGTCCATGAACACCTTCTCAGAACTATTATTTCAAAGTTTTAAGTTTTCTTCCTGCTTCCACTCTTTCCAACCCCCAAAGATTCAGCATTTCTTTTTTTGTAATGGGTTCTGACTCTAAGCCAAGAACAAAGTTCTTGCTGTTATAGTTGGTTCTAGAGATGGGAAACCCAAAAGTAAGGCATCCTAAAAGAGGATTGCTCTAATACACTGTATTCTGTTTATCCTGTAGCTGTGTATTTAGCACGTTGTATGCACTGGGCATTGTTCTCAACTGTGGGAATACAGTGATAGACAGGGGCAGATAAAATCCTGTTCTAAAAAAGCTGTATTCTAATGAATACACACATACAATAGTAAAAGTCTGAAAACTGAAAAATGAGGAAGGGAAGAAAATCATATAATAAGAACCATAAGACAGCAAAGAAAACTAGATACTGCCTAGAGTAAGCGATAGTGCCCATATCTAGATACTCACAAATAGAGGAAGTTTCTTAAACATGTCTTCAGATTCTTGCTATGTCCCTGAAAAAACAGAAAAGAAAAATTCAAAACTTATATTAAACACACTTTAACCTTGGATCCCATCCTACAATCTTACTCCTGATACAAATTGTATTTGGTTAAACAAAACAACCATGTAGGAAAAGCCAACTCAAAAATGTAATTCAAAAGTGTTACTGTAAGCTAGGTGTGGTGGTGTACCCCTTGATCCTGGCATTTGGGAGGCAGAGGGAAGCGGATCAAGAGTGGGAGTCAACCTCAGACACAGGAAATCCAGTCTTAAAAACAAAGAACAATAAGGTTACTGTATGTAATGGCTACTTTTAATCACCAACATATCACAGTCCAGAAGCACCTGACAAGAGACTCAATGAGGGATTGTGTAGATCAGGTCAGCATGTGGTCCATCTATAAGGGATTATCTTAATTATATCAAGTAGAGGAAGATCCACCTATTGTGGGTGGTACCATTCCTGTAGGCAAGGGGATGCTGAGTTGTCTGAGAGTAGAGAAGGCTGGCCTAGCAGGAAGCATGCACACATTTCTGATTCCAGCTCCTGACAGTAGAAGTCATGTGACTAGCTGCTTCAGGTTCCTTTCATGTTGACTTCTCCAGAATGATGGACTGTAACCTATAAACTAAAATAAAATCTCCTCCTTGAAGGTGCTTCTATCAAAGTATTTTATCACAGCAATAGGAATGAAACTAAGACACTGTAATTTGAACATTTTGATTTACGTGATGCTCAAAGAACCAGTCAGCATCACTGATGCTACGCCTGTAAAATACTGTTACTACTCACAAAGTTATGGCAGTGACACAAACAAAATCAGAGAACTTTTGGGTTAGAAAGGAAGTAATAAATCCTTCTCATTTTGTGAGGGACTGAATACAAGAACAAACGTTTTGGTTTTTGAGCCACGTCCACTGCTGAAGAAAGGACCTAATTTGCAGAGTCCAGTGCACACTGAAAATGTCAAGAAGTGACAGTACAGCTTTAAACTGCTAGTCATTCTAAATGCTAGGCTGGGTGTCCTGCATAGGTTTGCACATTACAAAGATGGCCCTAGAAAATCCGTATGTCAATAGCCATCCTGTTAAGAAATCTAACCCTCTATAAAAATGGGTTCTTGCTTACATAATATGAATCTGGAGGACAGCAAAAAACAAAACAAGCAAACAAACAAAACAAAACAAAACAGTAAGGGCTCAGAAATACTTTCAGCCACTTATTAGCTTGACCATTACAAGTCTCTAATAACTTGGGTACCATCTGCGTAATTTCTACCTCACAAAGTTCTAACATCAAAGATGATGAGCTCTCTCTCCTTCATACAGATGTTGGTGTCCCTACTGTTCTTCCAACCAGTTCTGGAAGTGAATGCTTTCAGATGCTGGAGACAACTGCAAAATCCATGGAGATAAGAGTTGGCAATAAACTAAGTCCTCACCTTCAAGTTTAGTAAGTGTTCATTTCCCTTCAATGGTTCTCTGCAAATGAAAACCATCAGAGTTCCCCTGTTCACCACCAGATCGTCCCTAACACTATTCAAAAATGTAGTGAGCCACATTTTGTGTCTAGCAGACACATTGTGTCTAGCAGACACATTTCATAAGTAACAAATGAAATTTAGAATCTTTTAATTTAACCAATCAAATAAAAATAGTTTAAAACATACAACCAAGGTAAAAAAATATTACAAAAGTTTTTATATTTTTATTAAATCTTGGGAATCTAGCCTGTATACTTATATCTCTACCCCACGTGGCAATTGGACACAAATTCAAAACACTATAATAACACAAAACATACAATTATATGCTTTGGGGGTTTGTCTTCTTTCTTACCGAGCTAAATAAACAATAGCAGTTTCAGGAAACTTGCAGTATTACCATCTCCAAAAGACACTGTACATCTATATTTTCATTAAAATATAGTTATTCAAAAGAGCCGACAAGAGTAGTCATTTGCTGAGCAAAGCAGAGAGGCTCCATTCCTCTCAAGGAATTCGCATTATTCGTGTCGGTGGGGAACAGAGCTCACGGGGTGACAGGCCCTTTAACAAGGATTTTATTGGGTACGACTCGAACTCGTCGTGTTGTTATTCCGGGTAAACCAGGAATCTGATCGTGACTCCCACGGTCCGGATGCCTGGCTGAGCGGCTCGGCAGCGGGGGACGCGGCTCCACACTCCCGCCGCGGCCCCACGGAGGACGGTCGCCACGCGGCCGTCCGAAGGCTCCCACGAGGCCCGCCAGCCGCCCTGTGCCGTGACCATCCCACTGACCGGAACGGCACCCGCCGGCGAGGCTCTGAGGAAGCCGCCGCGGCTGCCGCCCCGGGCCTCACGCAGACACTCGCTCCGGGCCGCACTCACTGACCTGAGGAGGTGGCGTGTCGCCACACAGACGTTTCCGGCCTGTAAGCCGCCCCTCCCGCCGCTGGAGACGGACGCGGGCAAGATGGCCGCCGAAGCGCAGGCGGTGACCTGGGCCACACTCCGGGCCCACTACCACCTCCGCCGCCTCGGAAGCGGACCTCTTCGCCGCGAGCCCCGCCTTCCCCTCGCTCGGCACCGCCCTGGGGCGGGGCCACTGCGCGGAGACCCCGCCTTCCTCCCCAGCGCTCCGCCCTCGAGTTGCGCCCCTTCCATCGCCCTCTGGTGGGCAGGGCCATAGCTTAGAGTCCCTGCCTCCCTCCCTCGCGCTCCGCCCAGTGTGGGCCCTGCTCCTGGACCCACCCCTACCCCAAGCAAGGCACTCTTTAATCCTGGGTCCCATGGAATTATTTCTCAGAAGCCAGATACCATTATCATGGTGGTACACACACGTTAGCATATGTGATCCATTTTAATTTCCACTGACAAGTGAGGATGGGCAATTTAGTAAAAATTTCAGAATTTGGGGCGCATGATTGATTAGTCACGTTTCAGTTATTCCGAAAAGAGATCAGGGACTTCATGTTGAGTTGAGTCACATCATGTTGGGATACATGAATGAGGATCCCTTGTAGAAAGCAGGACTAAAGGGTGATGGCTTTTTAAAGCTACCTGGGAGAGCACCTCCCTCAGTGTGGGTCAGGGCCTTAGGAGAGCTTCCTTGGACAATAAACACTAAGAAAGACAAACATGGATCGGTCACTAAAGTAAAAGAGAGAAACAATTGGAAGAGAAAAACCTTCTAGCACTAAAAAAGAACAAATACTAGATCAGGAAACAGGATATAGCAGTGGAAAGCAAGGATCCCTCATTTACCTGTGAGTTTGCTTTATGAAGTTCTGGTTACCGCTCATCAGTCAAAATCTGAAGATATTAGATGGACGATTCCAGAAATAAACGATTCATAAATTTTAATTTCTGAATGTGATGAAATCTTTCTGAATCCTGTTCAGTCCAGCCTTGAACATCATTCAACCAATCTAAGCTGCCATCTGGGCTATCAGGTCGATCAGTGCTTACCTTCAAGTAACCCTTACACATAGCCAAGTACTACATCGCAACACCTACAGTAATCACTTCATTTTGTCTTAACTTGTAGGTATTGTAGTGACAAATCATCAAAAGAAGGGTGAACACAAAACAGAAGGGGTGTGTCCACATACAGTTTACTATAGTGCTCATGGCCCTCCAAATCTTCCAGCTCTGCGTGTGCAGGTTCAACTACCACATATCAAAATGTTTTTAAAATTGGGTATGGTAGTATTTGTCTATAATATCAACACTCCATAAGTTGAAGGAGAAGCAGAAGGATTGAAGAATTCAAAGATAAATTCAACAATATAGTGAGTTTGAGATAGATTAGCTACATGAAAATAACTTTCTCTCATATCATGCATATATATATACTATATATATGTGTTCTTTTCATATCTATGTGTGTATATATATTTATATATTGTATGTATATGTTAAACTTGTACATTTTCTTTGTCATGGTTTACTAAAGAATGTAGTATAGCAATTCTTCACATAACATTTACATTATGTAACTATTATAAGTAATTTAGAGATAAGGTACAGAGAATGTATATAGGTTATTTGCAAATAACACCAACTAAGATAAAACATTTGAGCATATGTAGATTTTAGTATCATTGCAGAGTATGAAAGGACCGTCATTTTTATTATAACTTCTATGTTATTGTTGCCATTACTGTACATAATTTATAAATTAGACTTTATCATAGGTATATATGCATAGGAAAATGTAGTGTATGTATGTTTGACACTAAACACAGTCTGAGGTGTCTACTGATGGACTTAATATACATCCATCAGGGTTAAGGGGAAACTAATACACCAAGGAGTTGAGAAGAGACGGAGAAGTCCTATCAGAAATTCATTGAAAATTAGCTTACTGCCTTCACATAGGCTTTTCATAAAGGAAATTGTGGAGTCACTGACAATTTTAACTAGGATAGTGGTATAACCAGTTTTTCCATGGAGACGTGGAATGGTAGAATAGCCAAGTAAAAGATGATGAAGACACAAATTGCCAGTGGTATGGAGACAAGTGGGTTGCCTAGGGGTTAATTCAGAAAGCAAGATGAACAAAGCTTAGTGATTGCCCCAGTGAGTGCTGAACATTCTCTGTTGTGGTGATGCTGCAATAGGAGTTTCAGCTCTGACATCCAGACTCCCTTGCAGTGGCTGACAGCCAGTGCTTGTGCTTTTGTGCTTAGGTATTTTTGCACTGGTGCTAGTGACTGACCATTTCGGTAAGAGGGTGAGTTTGAGAAACATATTACATCTTTGATCCCTGCCATGTAAAGAACACAAAGTACAATCAAGGGAATGTATCATAAGATCCATCACTACAACATGATCCTGCCCATCTTCTAGGTGGGTCTAGCCGAGGACATATGTCCCTACATAAGACCAACCTCATTTTTTGTTAATGGCTTTATCAACACTTGCCATTTATAGTTGGAGAATCTCCACCAATGGACAACTTTACTTCTTATTTCAAAAAAAAAAAAATCAAAACTACTAGGTAGGGATCCTCTAGTCAGGGTTCTCTAGAGTCACAGAACTTATGGAATGTCTCTACATATTAAGGGAAATTATTGGAATGACTTACAGTCTGCAGTCCAACTCATCCAACAATGCGCAGCTGTGAAAGGGAAGTCTAAGAATCTAGCAGTTGCTCAGTCCCAAGAGGCTAGTTGTTTCAGTTGGTCTTCTGTATAATCTGGAATCTTGAAGAAGTAAGTTCCAACAGATATGCTGGACAGTAAATGCAAGCAGGAAGAAAAGAAGGAAACCTTCCTTCTTCCAATCTTCTTGTGTAGGCCTACAGCAGAATGTATGGTCCAGATTAAAGGTGTATACCACCACACCTGGATTTGGATTTTTCTCTGTCCCATGATGGCCTTGAACTCAGAGATCTACTTGCCTCTGTCTCCTGGCATTAAAGGTGTGTGCCACTTTGCCTGGACCTAAGCTTTTCAAGGCCACTATGTCTCAAGATCTGTATCAAAAGTCTGTGTCTTCCAGCCTCAAAATCTGGATCACAGGTGTGCCAACCATTTCTGGATATAGTTCATTCCAGATATTGTCAAGTTGACAACTGGGAATAGCCATCACAGATCCCTAAAGCCCCCCATTGCTTCTTGCCCTTCTTTGATCACTCTCACACTTCTAGCTGACATATGGAGGGAATCTCTTGTGAAACCTGAAAATATCGTTTTTTCTTTGCATGGGTATCTTGGGCTCTCCATTTCTTTTTTTTTTCTTTTTTTTTCTTTTTTTTTCTTTTTTTCTTTTTTTTTTTTTTTTTTGGTTTTTCGAGACAGGGTTTCTCTGTATAGCCCTGGCTGTCCTGGAACTCACTCTGTAGACCAGGCTGGCCTTGAACTCAGAAATCCGCCTGCCTCTGCCTCCCAAGTGCTGGGATTAAAGGCGTGCACCACCACCACCCGGCTGGCTCTCCATTTCTACTGGATCCAACCTTTACATACTCAAATCACTCTGTTTCCCCTAAAAGACAGGCTCATACTTGCTCTCTCTAAAGCCACTTTCTTGTGTCTTCCACTTCATCTTTCATGCCTACTATGCTATTGCCAAGGTCAACGTTGATATTCACTCTGCCAGTTCCAAACACCAAGCCTTCCCCTTTGCATGTTATACACTCTTGACTGCTTGTTCCTCCTGAAATACTTTATCCACTTGGCTCAACATCGTTATTATCTTTGTGCTTGCTTTTGGTCACTGTGAGTTGGCCAATTTGTTGACAGCACAAATTGACTGTGGCTTCTGTGCTCTACAACAGCGTCTTCTTCAAAGCTGTAACGTTCTTTAACTATAGCAATGCATGGATTATACTCTCCTTAATCCAAGGCTGATTACTTATCAAAGACTGCATAAGACTTTGTGTATGTATTCATGCCTTATTTGCCTACAATTATCCTCCACTGAGTTTTCCAGTTCAATGCGTTCAGTTTTCAATGTCTTTTACTTTCTTCCCCTTCCTGTCTGTCTTAGGGTTTCTATTGCTGTGACAGACAACATGATCTAGGCAACTCTTATAAAGGACAGCATTTAATTGGGGCTGGCTTAAAAGTTTAGAGGTTCAGTCCATTGTCACCAAAGTGGGAAGGATGGCAGCATTCAGGCAGGCATGGTGCTGGAGGAACTAAAAGTTCTACATCTTGTTCCAAAGGCAAACAGGAGATTGGCTTCCAGACAGCAAGGAGAAGTGTCTCAAAACCTGCTTCCACAGTGACACACTTCCTCGAAAAAGGCCACACCTCCTAATAAATAGGTGCCACTCCCTGGGCCAAGCACCTGTTTAAACCACCACACGTTCTAGTATTTCTTTCTTCCTTTCCTTTTTTATTTTTTAAGTTCTTTGCTTTGTTTGTTTGAGACGGGGTCTTTTTGTATTGACCAGGCTGATCACAAACTTCTGAGCCTTCTACCGCTACCTCCTGAGTTCTAGGAGGGTATGCTACCTCATTTGGACCATCTATCACATTAAAAAAGCATACATGCCTCCAAGTTTGAGGAAGGCATGTGCTGACTGGGGAGGGGGGAGAGAGAAAGAGAGAGGGAGAGAGAGAGAGAGAGAGAGAGAGAGAGAGAGAGAGAGAGAGAGAGACAGAGACAGAGAGAGACAGAGAGAGAGAGACAGAGCATTGAGATGTGAATAAAACTGGATCATGCTCCTTAGAAGAGAAGCTTCTTGTAGCCACTGTTTAGCAAATGGCAATGGCAAGTTATGTATTAAAAAAAGCAAAGGCAGCTCTTTAACCTAAGTTTCAGCATTATTTTGGAAAGCTGAAAGCTACTTCCATGGATCAGTTAAATTTCTAGAGAATTATACAAGGCAAAATTAACATCATTTTTTTAAAGTTATATTCTCTGTTCTACATCTCTTACTGGATTGAGTAAATTGTAGCTGAGATTTAGAAATAGATGATGTCATTAAATTCTGATAGTCTCTCTGATCCCATAGAGACTTTGTTTAGATATTTCTTCCTGAGGAGGCAATAGTTTTGCCAACT